CGCGCGCCGCCGCTAAACCCGAACAGTCGAACGCGTTTTCACATACCGCAATTAACATGGCCTTCCTGAACCACTCGCGTTGTCCAACACCTTTCTTTTGAACATTCCTGTTTTGCTTCGTCCGATCCTCAATCGAACATGAAGGCAAACAAAAACGCCCCGATGGAAACCGTCAATGATGATTTGGCCTTTATTCCTCCCAGCGTGGATACGGCCCAGTTAGTCGCGGGCGAGTCTTACACATACTACACGCCTTGTCCAGTGGCCATCACCCCTCGTGGGGCAGCTGGTGATGCTGGAGAGAGTACGCCATGTGTGCTTGGTGTGGATGAAGCTGGTCGCGGCCCAGTCATTGGCCCGATGGTATACGGCCTTCTACTTGCCCATCAATCTTCACCATCCTCTGCTTGCCCAGGATCACAGTTTCGACGATAGTAAAGTATTGACTCCTGGCGTGCGGGCAAATTTAATGCGACTTCTCAATACACCGGGACAGAAGCTCTACGAGTCTTGTGGCTACGCAATAAAGAGTCTCTCGGCCCGTGACATTTCGACAGGCATGATGAAGCCCGGCACCGCTGTCTATAACCTGAATGCTCAAGCAATGGATGCTACCATCGAGATCATCCGGGGGTAGTCGAGGAGCGCAAGGTGAATGTACAGGAAGTGTACATCGATACAATTGGAAATCCCACAACCTACCAACAGAAGTTGGAGAGGATCTTCCCATCCTTGAAGATCACTGTTGCTAAGAAAGCGGATTCCCTCTATCCGTGCGTTAGTGCTGCCAGCGTGGCAGCCAAGGTGACGCGTGATGTTGCGCTTGAGGTCCTGTACAAGGCATTCATTGAGGCCGAACAAGCCGACAACGCATCAGAAGGTCTTGAAGGGTGGGGTAGTGGCTATCCCTCGGACTCCAAGTGTGTTAATTGGCTAAGACGGAACATGGACCCAATATTTGGATGGGGCAATAATGGTGCCGTTTTAGCTGGGGACAGTCAAGGAAATGCTAGAAGCGAAGGGGGGACGCGGGTGGATTGGCCTGACGAGGAAGAGGGTGTCAGTCAGCTAAATGAATTCCTTTTAGCTGCAGGGCCTGCCAAAGCCTCGGGCCGTACTGGTTTACGAGACTGGTATGGAAGTAGACCATCGGAGATCATTTGATGCGGCATATAGATACGAAACCAGGCATAATGAAGCTAATATGACATGCGTGATGCCCCACCTGGAGGCAAGGTTGATGAGAGAACAAAAGAGAACAAAAGAAATACATACGCTCAAGATAGCTCTATGGCAATCACGAGGTAGGTACATATAACAGGGGTTGAAAACACGTGTTAATAATAAAAATTGGGTATCATAGACGAAGGAAATGGAACAACTCTGTCAATCACAGCGTGGTCGTTGAGAAGTAGTAGTTGTCCCACAAGTATTCGTAATCCTCTACCACGCTGCCTACCAAGTCCAGCAGCGGCTTGTTCTTCAGCTTGTTTGTAATGCTGTGTAGCCAGGATCTATAAACGAAGTTAGGCGCGACTGGATAAAGATTATGAGTGATTGGGACCCTTTGGATGCGTACTTAGTAATGTTCTCATAAAATGCGCCTCGCATCAGCCACCAGCCCATCGACCACCCACGCTTCTTGAGCTCTTCTCGTTCAAGTCCTGTAAGGCCCGAAGACCACCGGCGACTCGTTCCTTGAAATCACGCTTAGCTAGTTGACGGCAGCCATATTCCATGCCAAAACCAATCAACCAGGGACGCCAACTCCGCTTATCGCCGCTCCACCTTTGCATGGCAAGGGCATGAACAACAGGCCGCAGAATGTACAGCACCTCCGCCAATTGGCCTTGACCGGTCACTCGGTGCAGCAGAGTCTTGGGTGGTTTGATGTCATCCGCCGTGAGAACCTTGGAAATGAGGAAGTTCGAGATATCATTTGCGTCCGGTAAAGAAGGTAAAGAAAGACCAGTCCGAGGCATAGTCCAGCTCAGATCCCACGACTTATCACTAACAGGAGTATCCATTCCATTCCAGTCGCTTGGCTCATCCTCTTGAGTGGTCCTCGGATCCACTTCTCGCTCCGGCAGAGGAGGGCTCACCAGTGGGCGCGAATTCGTCAACCGAAGGAGCAAACGGCAAATGGCTTTAGCAAACTCAATAAAGACAACAACACGCCAGCGAGTCTTCTCGCCTCGTTTACGAGCCGACATTTCCCATAACAGCTCAGTGTACTGAAGCATCTGGAGGGCCAGGGCTACCCTGCGGTACAGGGACGAGCGCGAGGACCAGTATTTCGTGTAACGGGCGTGGGGTGTCGGAGGTGGACGCGGAATATTCGCTGGGAGTTGAGAGACTACCTTGGAGACCAGGGAGTCATGGTAGAGCGATAATAGCTGCACACCTGAATGGACTAATGGAACGATCAGGGGGGATCATTCCGGAATACTTGCAGGAGATGAACACTCACCACATTCAGAAGCAACTTCGGACTCGCGATATCGGCCTATTATATGTGAGTCCCTGAGCACGAGTGACGGGGCCAATCCAACTCAGAAAAGAAAGCAAGGATTCATCCTGCATACCTGGGATGATGTAGGTCAACGACCTCAAGGCCGACTCAACTTGGCCGACAGAGCTGGCATTCTTGGTAACGAACTCCTCGTAAAGCGGTAACCACTTGGACGGTTGTCGCATTTCCGGTGGAATGGGATTCTGAAGTTTGCGCATGGCCTCCATGATTCCGTGACTCGGTAATGCCGTGATCGCGTGGAAGGCGGGAAGGCGTACAGAGGGTCGAGAAGTCACGGGCTGCCAAGCCAGTCGAGCCGAGGTTGATATTTCCGGTTTGATGGGTCGAACTATGAGATTACTTGGAGTAGTTAGTTAACTGCACGCGCGCATTGGTAAGGACGAGCATAGCATTTCATAATTCCGATAAATACATTCTATTTGCTCATTCCATGGTAAGAGCACCTAGGCATCCAATCAAATTTCTATCATTCATCAGCCCACGTCCATAATCCGCCCGGTCGCATTGCTTCACGATATCGCTGCTCGACTCTGTCTCGGTCCATCTTTTGCGCAGCTTCTCGATCAGCCTCAATCTCTTGTGTAGATGGCATGTCTGTTCTCCAAAATCCAGGCGGCGTTCGAGCTCGCTGGTGATTGTGCCGGTGTCTCCCGTATTGGTTGGCGAGGGCCCTTGCCCGGGCTTCGACGAGGAGGCGTTCGCGATCAGGAGCACTCATGTTTTCCAGTAGAGGGTATTCATCCCCCATGTATTCTTGAAGAACTTTCTGGTCTTCTTCATGCTGTTCCGCTGGAATTCTTGCAGGGAGGCCACCAAGACGTGCCATGGCTCGGAATCGATCTCCACAGCACTCTGGCTGGGTACAGCCAGGAAGGCACTTGCGGTCATCTTTCTTACGCACAACAGCATCGTACGCATAGTCAAGGCCCTGGTTACGTGCGGGGTTTAATTTGAAGTGGTCAAGTGTGAGCCGGTGTAAAGGCCGAGACCTGAAAGGCTCGTCGTCTGGATGAACATCTACGTGTTCTTGGGTGCCGGAGCCTGCCTCTTTCGTCGTGAAATTCCCAGTCCTTGACCCTTCGCTTGATTCTGCATCTACAGGGGTCGCGTGAGAGTTAGCCACAGGCGTTTTGTCCAGCTGGTGACCAAGAGGAGATATAGACGGCCCCGGCCTTTCAAGAAGGCTGTATAACCGGCCTTGGGCCACCCTAGGTTTCGTTGCAGCGTGTGCCAAGCCGTAAGAATGAGGATTCTCTTGCCAGTGTGCATGGTCGGAGCCACCGTTGTCTCCGTCTTCTGTCATTGACAGATAGCGGCTCTGATCAACGTGTTTCTGTTTCGCAGTATCGGAAAGTCGATCACGCAACCGCGTCCTGCGTGCATTTCCATCTATTGGTTTTAAGGCGCGGGGTTTGTTGACTGTTCCGTTTGAATCTGTTCTCAAAGACACAGTGTCCCAATCAATATTCCGTGGATTGTGGGGCTTTGTCGGTGTTTGTATAGTGTCACCGATTTCATCAAGATCCTGCGTGCTTGGGATCTGGGGGCCAGAGGAGGCTGTAAGTTCATTCAAAGGGCTCGACGACAGTGTTTCGTCCTTGACTCGGACTTGCTTCTCAGGATTGTCCTCTGCTACTTTAGACTGGACGGGTCCCACAATTCTCTTCCTCTTGCGGGTCCGTACAGTTGGCAAGGGCTCAGAGACTTCTAGAGATGCATCGGAGTTAAGGTTGTTTTGCATGCGAGGCAAAGTATCACATAAAGTATGTTGGACGGTGGAAATGGTCTCGGCAGCTTCGTGCTCTTTTTTGATTAAGCAATAGTTGTCTGCCGGGCTGCTTCGGGTTTTCAAACTATCAGGCAGCTCTGAAAGGCTGCTAGAATGAACAATATCGGACTTTGGGACTCTTCGGAATGTAACAGAAGAGCCCTCGACCATGAGCGTGAACTGATCTCGATGGAGTTGCTTATCCCAATGTTGCAATTTCTTTTTGTGTTGTAAAACCTTGGCCTTCAAACTACACCAGCTTTGAGTAAAGGCGTAGAGGCCTGAGTAAAGAGATCTGTACTTTGTCTCGAGAATGTCCCGTAGATGATCAACATCATCGAGATCGCCAGACCAGATCCGGTCGGGGGCAAAGTCAGCCTCGAGTCTGACATACTGCTCGGGAAGCTCGAGGCTTTTGTCATCAACCTTGTTGGACTCCAGCTCACCCTTCAATGCCGAAACCTCGCGACGTAGTTCTTCAACCTTGCATTCGGCTTCTTTGCGAGCCTTGTCTGCTATAAAAGCATGACGCTGCGCTTCCTGCAATCTTGCCTCATGATCAGACAGTTCAGACTCCAATCTATGGTAGGCACCATCCAAAGAGGCTTCACACGCCTTGACAATTGAAGCGCGGAGTTCCTTGAAAGCCTCCATTTGAGAACGTTATCCAGAAACCCCCATACCTGGGTTGCGCAGGATCTCCAAGTAGACTCGACGCGTTCAATGTTCACGCGTGCCACTGGCAGTATCACCGACCGCCTAGTGATAAGATCGATCAGGTGATTTGTTTATCGGGTTACGCGATAAGGGGACCTTTGACGTATTAGTGCCCCGAGAAACCTCTTGTATTCTCCCCTCCGCATTGCAAACCCACACGATGCTTTGTTGAATGGGCCATATGACAAATATCCACTATGGCTAAGCGTACTCGCCGGGACTCAACTTCGTATCCCGATATTCCCGCACCGAAACGGCTTCGGGATGTCCGAGCGCCGCCTATTGATCGGCTATCTTCACTGAGCAACGAGCTCTTACTACATATCTTGTCGTTCCTCCCCATCGAATCATTGAACGTCTGCCAAAGGTCACTAGTCTATTAAAATAATTTTGTCACAAATAACACTGACAACGGATTTCACAGGTTATCTCGCCGGTTCCATGCTTTGGGCGGAGATTCGGAACTATGGAAAAGACAGTACTACTCCCACTGGGTGCGCCCGCGTGCCCGTCGCCTTGCTAACATAAAGCGGTCATCTAAACCAAGTGGCTCGGAATATTCGCCCAAGGTTTCCACGTGGCTTGATCATGGTCACTTAGCCCAAGAGGGTCAAGTTACCAATTGGAAACGACAATATCGTCTACGACATAATTGGTCTAAAGGGCTATGCCGAGTGACTGAAGTCGAATTGCCTCAGCCATCCTGTCCTCCTGTTTTGGTGAAGCTCTGTGCTGGGGTTGTCTTCACAACAGATACGGCACATGGACTTCGAGCTTGGGCAGCAAAAGACCCTACGCGCTGTCTAGCTACAGCTTCATTTGAAGATTCTGTTGCTCAACCCACGGCTTTGGCTGTCAGTGAGGAAAATAAAGAGATTGAAATTGTCGTCGGGTTCAATGATGGTCGATTCAGCCGTTATGGGCTGGATGTTCATAAAAGCTGTTTCATCCTACGCTCCGTTCGCGTTGCATTCAGCGATGGCGCCATCACGGCCATGGCTTTATCCTCACCATACCTCTTGGTTCTCTCCCAATGGAAAATACTCTCCTTGCACCGCCTAGAACCGCCCGCGAATCATTCTGAGGGAAGTGATAATCCGGAACCACGTGAGCTTGTCTCCTTGCGAGCGGATAATATAGTTGCTCCGATGACTCTCTCTCTCCGCGTTTCCGCGTTGGAAATAATTGTCACCATCGTCTATAGTTTCTTTCATATTGGCTGTGGATGGTCCCTGGGTATCCAAGAATTGCGTTTCGACCAACAAGGCCAACAACTTGGATCCCGGCTGGCTAGTACCGTGGATTCGCAATATGGAATTAATCCTCTCCAAAAAGATCCAACAGCGAATTCTGGACAACCGTCAACTACCACGGGGCTTACGAACCATACTGTGACCGCTCCCACGGCCCCGTCAATTTTGCATCAACAACCCCCGACATCGATGTCATACTCCCATCCCCTATTTACTGACAGCACATGCTGATAATACATTGACCATGTACTTGGTTGTCTCGGATTCCAGCTGCCTTTTTGTCCGAGGTGGCCAGCGACTTTGGGGCCACACTTCCTCTGTGTCAGCGGTGCAAGTCACCAATCGAGGGAAGGCTGTCTCTGTAAGCTCGCATGGAAATGAGGTGCGGATTTGGGAGCTTGAGACCACCATCTCCTCACTAGGCTCCCGCCGTCCATTGAAAAGACGATAGCAGCATTGAGGTCAGTCCCGATAAACGAGATCAATCAGGGACCAGCCCCAATCTGGCCGGTCAAAAGCCACCCAAATTCGGGTTGGAGCTCTTCACAAACACATCGCAAAATTTTTCGCAGATCCATGAATGTGTAGGATTCGATGATGAGCGGGTCTATCTGCTCCGGGAGAAGGACATTGGAACACACTTGCTGGAATGTTATGACTTTACATAACACTCCCAAGCTGGCTACTGTTAGGCTCAGTGGGAAGAAATCTTTTTCTTCTCTCTGCCTTTCGAACTCTTCCTTTCGAGTTATTGAAAGTCAATCAATCCCAAATGGATTATTTGACGGTTCTCACCAATTGGGAGTCGCCCCAGTATTAGATCGGGCGCTAACGCAGGTCCAAGGAAACTGGTCACGCAAACCCTGTAGCACAAGGTACTCACGCCCGTGATGAACCGGGGACCCTAGCAGAACGATGTGTTGCAAGGATTGTATAAATGTCGCCATACCCCAGGTTTCTACTTCTCCTTACCTCAACTTCCACTGTGACAATTCTGTCCTCCATCAACTTTCCTTACCGAAACCTGGTAGTGTCTTTCTGAAAGCTGCATTTGCCTCACCTGGCAACGATGGTCGTTGTCTCAACCTCTGCCATTCTGACATGGACTGTTTTCTAAACTAGTCTCATAGGTATGAAACATGGCCAGAGTTGATGCCGAAGCCATGTCAACTCAGCACTGCTCAGCTATAGAGTGGGTAATGATTCGCACAGTAGCCATCCCTAGATGGCCTCTTCTTTTTGCCTGGCTTGTGCCATTCGGAAATTCTGAACACAAAGAACCCCTCCTTAATTTTTTTTCTTTTTTTTGTGCAAGGAACAACAAAAGTCATGGAATTCGAGAGAAACGAGGAGATCTGGACGAGGAGTTGAAAATGGTGGGGTGTTCTAAAGACGTGTACTTCAGTCCTGGAGCTATTATTTCTTTTCGCTTCACATTCCCGATGGCGAGATTCGTCAAGCTCCCAGTCAGAGCCTGAAACCGAGGATTTCTTGGAACGATTGCTGGCCTCTTTGGGCTCTCGCTTTGGTATTTCCGAGAAATCAGAACCCGCAATCTCTTCGCGGGAAGATTTCTCCAGGGCCCCCGCACTACAAAATTTCCTCTTCTCATTCACCTTTCTTCCCACCTGCATCCCACCTACTCTTTTTACATTCGCCTTTCAAGGAATTTTACCTTGAAACCTTACATTCTCCTCACTCTTTCAGTCCACCATCCTCAAAATGGACCCTCGTTCCCGAGCTTGCTACAATTGTGCGTTATCTTTCCCCGAGGCCCGCTCTTCGCCTGCAACTTCAGTGTGCGCTCCCTGTGCTGAAGACGGAAAATTCCTCTTCAATGGAGGCTGTCAGATCATCTGATACCAGCTCTCTGTATCCTCCACACAGACTCATTTCTCTTTCTGATCTGCCACTGGGCAAGTGCCGATCGGCAAACGGGTGGTTTTGACTGACTTTTTTTTCCTTCTCGGCAGGCGGTGACGCATCTCACCAGGTAAATCGAACCTTTTTTTCCCCTACTGGAGACATTATACGATCTGGGGGAGGAGGGCAGGACCATATCTGAGTTTCTGGGCTTGTGCGCAGAACTGAAGGCTAATTTCTTGTCTTTTAGGCTAAGGACTGCCCAAAGAAGGGAACTCCTACTTGGTGAGTGACATATCGAGCGCCGCTCAAGGCTCAGATCAGTTGATTGACAATCTCGAATAGCTACAACTGCGGCGGTGAGGGCCATGTCAGTAAGTGGATATAACCTTGCAGGCCCCTCTGCCTTCTCGGAGACTAACGCCCATTAGACCGTGAATGCCCCAACCCCCCTAAGGAGCGTACTTGCTACCGTTGCGGTCTGACTGGCCACCTGTCCCGAGAATGCCCCCAGGCTGGTAACAGCGGTGGTTTCCCTGGTGGTGGCTCTCAGGAGTGCTACAAGTGTGGCCAGGTTGGCCACATCGCTCGCAACTGCTCCCAGGGCGGCAGCTATGGTGGCGGTGGCTACGGCGGTGGCTACGGTGGACGCCCCCAGACTTGCTATTCCTGCGGTGGATTCGGCCACATGGCTCGTGACTGCACCCAAGGCCAGAAGTGCTACAACTGTGAGTCCTTATCTCTTGGTCGCCGTGACTGTGCCGGTGCGGTCATATGATCCAAATTTTAACGAAGAGCGATAGGTGGTGAGGTTGGCCATGTTTCCCGTGACTGCACCTCCACCGAAGTCCGTGGCGAACGTGTGTGTTACAAGTGCAAGCAGCCTGGCCACGTCCAGGCTGCCTGCCCCAACTAAGCTTGGGCGATAACGTCTTTCCCTCTATTATCTGCCCCCCCGAGGGATTTTTTCTATCAAACGAATCTCCTTTACATGCGCCACGATTTGAAACGTCTATTTCCCCGGGGTTTTTTGAATTTGTATTATCAATCACGGCTTGAGTCACGGTTATGGGCCTTTGCATATTGCTTTACTTCCTTTTGCCATGCTTCTTTCCATGTCTTCTAGGTTCGCGCGTGGAAAGCGAAGTGCGATAGGTGATTTTGCTGGCAACTCTTCTCTTAAACTAAAAATACGGGGTCGGTGTGCATTGAATTCCTATGTTTGGCGCGTTACCGGAGATACTTAGGCGCATGGAGAAATGCGAATTCATTCTCCCTAAACACTATGAAATCTGAGCTTCACGAGCTACAGCTGCACATCATTGCCTTTTTGTACTTGGGAACGTTGCCACAGAAACGTTCCTCTTCTTCCTCCGAATGTCCCCATTGCTCATTGAATGGATTGAGGCTCATGTCCATTATTCGCCCTAGTATATCTCGATCTCCCTTGCGCTCTACACGCTCAATCACCTCATCCAGAATCCAGCCTCGAGGGATGAACTATGCCAGGTCAATATAGTTGAACAAACAAATCAGGACAGCCCTGGGGAAAGAGCAAGGGATTTCTTACCTTTGGATTGACAGCCTTCATAGCGTTCTGCCTTTCTCCATCTTTATCAGGTCCCCAGTCTTGTTGCACCCGATCTTGCCATCTGTTCAACCATTTAGCAATGCGATCTCTGGCAGACGCATCGGTTTCTCCGACGCCACCAAATCCCTCCCCATGGAAAAAAATGCCGGCGGCTTGTGTCCTCTGTGCATCAGTCTCCAAATCAGATATGTTGAGTCCTGACAGGCGCCGGAAAAAGTGGTTGAAGTCCAATTCCAAGGCTTCCATGGTATCAAGCAATTCTGAAAACAGAGTCTGAAAATCGGAGTCTTGCTGAGTTGTGAGCCCTAGCCGTTGAGACATCAAACGCTTGTATTCGTTGAGAAAGACCACCTTGAACTCTTCACCGGTTCGATCAATTACCGTCTCGGCCAGTTTGACCAGTTCCGGCTCCATCTCCTCTGTCACGCCGTCCTTGATGAAGCTTTCATCGTCGACCTTTTTGCCAGCACCGAGCAGTTCTCCGAAAGATTCACCTAGTCTCACGAGGTTCCACCATATTACACTAGGCTGATTACGATATGCATACCGTAGCATATGGTCGTCATGGTTTGGGGTATACTGAGGGTCGAAAGTATCCATGAAGGCAAATGGACCGTAGTCCAAGGACAACCCGTAGATCGAAGTATTATCGGTATTCAGCACACCGTTCATGAAACCATAAGCTTGCCAGGCGGCAACTGTCTTCGCGTTACGTCGCGCAATCTCACGGTAAAGCCTGGCAAATCGATTTTCATCCACCCCTTGGTGTTGCTGGATCTCATCGCGGGCGACGCCACGCTGAGGGTGGTCAATCTCACGGTCTGACTGACCCTCACGCACGGAGACAGCTGCAGGGAGGTTTTCCCATCCGCCGAAAACGTCCTCTGCGACATAGGTAGCGAGCTTTCGAATCAGGTCGCGGTCACCTCTTGCCCGCAGGATATCGAACGTGCCGATCCGAAGCCAACTCTCTGCAAAGCGGGCAACAATCGCACCAGGCTCAATACGTTCTCGCAAGACCTTTTCCTTCGGAAGTAACGAAAGGGATAATGCTCGGGTGGTCGGGATTCCAAGTGCATTGAGAGCTATCCGTCGGTGAGTATGCAAATTGACAAGATGAAAACGTACGGTCATCAAGACATACCTTCGGAAACAACGTATTCACGGATGCTTGATCGAAGGACAGCTTTGCCGTCTGCAAATCGCGAATACGGAGTTTTGCCGGCTCCCTTCAATTGCAATTCATATCTCTTGTTGGTTTGCGGATTTGTGCACTCGAAGAGACTGATTGCGCGTCCATCGCCCAGTTGTCCTGCCCATGAGCCACTATATCCAGCGCAGTCCCGTGTTAGTTACCCGTCAAAATCACCATTATGTATACCAGTCTCCTCGGGTAGAGGCTTGCAATAAACCATCGGAGAATGTTACTTACAATTGCCAGCCTGATGACAAACCACCGGTTGCAGGTCAACTTTCGGGGTCCTTTATAAGAGGTCAAGGGGGTCGGACTTACCGCCGTAGCATTGAGCCCAGGGATAGATTCCCCCTTCTTCCTCGTTCCAGAATATTTCGTTGCCAGACACCAGAGCCTTGAATTTCGGCGTCTCTGCTTCCCCGGGCTGTAATCCCAGGTCTTCCAATGCTCGAGGGCTCACCCCGAGTAGCTCTGGGTCCTCGCTTGGTTCCGGGCGGACGAAGGTATATAAAGCGCCCTTCACCATGCGAGGGCCCAGTGTTTCCCGTGGTGCTTTATGGGAGGCCTCGGGGGTCTCAAAGGCCGGGTCCGGCGGTAGACGTGATGTGAATACGTGAGATTTGGGTAGCTCTGCCAGGGACATGCCCCGCCCAGTGGAGAGATGTGATGCCATTTGCCCCAATCGGCTTCGGGTCAGCGAATGCGAGGAATGGCGCATATATCGACAAGATAAGATTCGAAAGATACGAGCCGGAGGCATGAAGAATAATATAAGATGCGAAGTAGTGGATCCTCGAATCTGATAAAAGTCGTGAAAGCGGGCGAGAATGACATCATGGCCATTATTAATCGCCGTGCGCCTAGATCGGACGCAGTAGCAACTGCAGATTGGCGAAGAGGGGGCAGTTGATCAGGTTCCAGCATTAGTCAGAAAACCTTCCGCGGGTCAACCGGAGGGCGAAGAATAAGGCGAGCGCCGGTTAATTCGGAGCATTACGATACGCATCAAGTTCGCATTCGACTACAATCGCTACTTCAAACTCCCCCCTTGGCCCCGCTCTGGGTTTCTCCTTTCCCAATCAATCCTTGGTCGACCCTCTCTCATCATGCCCAACACTCCCGCAATTCCAACCGTGCAGCTCAATGATGGCAAGTCTGTCCCAATTGTGAGTTTCTATACCCGCAGAGGCAGCATCGTAGCTTTCCCCTAATAATTGTCCAGCTGGGATACGGCACAGGTACTGCCTGGTTCAAGCAGGGAGACTCCGACTTCAACAATGACCTTGTTGAATCGATCAAGAACGCGACCAAGCTAGGGTTTCATCACCTTGATGGAGCCGAGGTCTATAACACTGAAGCAGAGCTAGGTGCCGCAATCAAAGCGAGTGGAGTCTCTCGGGATAAGCTCTTTGTAACCACGAAAGTGGAGCGGACCAAGCATGACATCCCAGGCTCCATCGATTCGAGCCTGAAGAAACTTGGACTCGACTATGTTGATCTGTAAGCTTCCCCCCTATTATCCTGACATTTACAATTATCACGTCAATTCCGGCATTGTACTCACGAGGTTCTAGCTACTTGATTCACTCGCCCTTCTCAATGAGCGAGAGCCAACTCCAGGAGGCCTGGGCGGAAATGGAGAAAGTGCAAGCTTCCGGCAAAGCCCGATCCATTGGCGTCTCCAACTTTCTCCAGAGTCACCTGGAAACCATTCTCAAGACTGCTAAAGTAATTCCAGCCGTGAACCAGATCGAATATCACCCATATCTCCAGCATGGAGATCTACTGGCCTTCCACGAGGCGAAAGGAATTCGTACCGCCAGTTATGGCGGACTGGTGCCCATCACTCAAGCTTCGGGGGGTCCCTTAGACCCCTTGTTGTCAACGCTTGCCGCCAAGTATGGAGTCAGCGAGTCGGAGATCCTGCAGCGTTGGGCGATCGATCGAGGTGTCGTCGTTATCACTACCAGCAGCAAAGAATCGCGCTTAGCTGGTTATCTGCGTGTGTTTGCCTTCAAGTTGACTCCTCATGAGGTGGAGGAGATCTCCCGGCTGGGTCAGCAAAAGCACTATCGTGCATTCTGGCTCCCAAAATTTGATCCTGACGATCGGTCCTGAGCCCATGTAGAGTAGATGAGAATAGATTAGTCCTTATTCAAGACTACGCTCTACCTGCCGGGACACAAAAAATCCAATAATGGTACAACACGTTTTATATCTTCTGCTTATATCATTGGTTATGTGTTTATACTCTTGGGGAATCATAGAAGCTCAATATCCTTAATTACACCGTACGTCTATGTATGCAAGTAACCACTCCTTCATATACGTACGAGTCTTCTCATATGTGCTCTGACAGCGATCGAACGGATGCAGCACCGGGGCGTCTCAGATCTATTTAGCACCACGAATCGCAAGATATGGGAGATGATTATAGGCGGGGTAGGGATGAACGGCCTTGGGTATGGAAATATGTTGGTGGCCCATGGATGTCGACACTGTAAAGCGGCGAGGGGGGGTTATCCCGAACAGGAACAACCCCGGAATCATCTCCCATACACTTCTTTCTCCAACCCTTGTCTAAGCGTCCGCCCTCGTCCAATTTCCCTTTCATCCCGGGGCTTCATCTCGCACCTGGGAAGAATGTCCTGGTGCAAAAGACTCCCCGAGTTCATCCAGGCCCTTCTATCCACCCTTACGGCTCGTCTTTCCAAGACGGCGCATCACTAGCTTGGTACTCACCTCCGTCTCCCTCCTCCCCCTCCCTCGCATCTCGGTTCCGAAAGCTCGCTCTTTACAAATCCTGGGAGTACGCGTCGGTCCATGGTGGCCAGATCAATCGCGCCCTCCCGCGGACTGCGATGTCGGTGAACACTCCACCTCCTTCCGCGGAAACAATCATCTCCCCACGCGCGAGTCTGTCGACCGCCGATCCCGCGGCACTGGACCATCTGGATCAACAATTGAAGCGTCTTTCTGACGACGTCCTCCCTCAGCATCCCTATCTCCTGACCCTTCCTACGAATGCGCCTTATCACCTTGGGCCTCGCTCCGCCAACAATTGGGCCGTAGGATATGATCGGCCATTCGGCCTCGAGGAACAGGAACTTCAATACGTGACATTTCTCACTCACCACAACACTGACTCTTTGTTGTTGGCGGTTGGGGATTGGTCGGACGAAACAGGGCGCATGATGGCCGACCACTCAACCGCGCCCAGCACAGAAATCCCAAGAGAAACTGTGGCCAGGAAAAAGATTAGTTTGAACGACTACAAGAATCAGAAAATCACGAGTCCCGCAACCTCGCACGCGTCCCATGAGGCAACCCCCCGAGACCCAACGAAGTTACCCATGCGCGAGGAACCACGGCGCGTTTCCAGGCCGGACCCTGTCAAGAAGAGCGATAAGAACCAGCCGCCTGATAACCCCTCCAAGTCGCACCCGCACCTGTCGCCGGGCAAGGGTCCCAAGAAACGACCATCCACGTCGGATATCAAACACCTCGGTGTGCTAGGGTCTCAAGACCCCGATATGCACTCGTCCAAGAAACCACGCCTGTCCCCAGAGAAAGAACCGCGAAGGGAGGTTACTCCGTCTAAATCTAATACCCCGAAGTTGCCTGCTCTATTGTCTCCAACGCTTCCCCCGACCTCGACACCTAGGCTCCCAAGATTGCTCTCTCCCACCCTACCCCCCGACATCGAAAAAGAGCTAGCCAGACTTGGCGACCAGTCACCGATCCGCACCTCTCCCAAACACGACACGACTACATTCAAATCTAAGCGAGATGAATCGATACCGCTGCGGTCCCCGGCTCCTTTTGCCAAAGAGTCCCAGTCGAGGTTAATTGTCAGGCTAAGATATGGCAAAGCTAACCGGCGATGGGTCGAGGGCTTGTTGAAGTTCACTGGTGGCAAAAAGAAGGTGCCACGGCCCAGCTCGCCAACCGGCCAAGACACTGACACGGAGGAACCGAGCAGAGTTGAAAAGAGGCGCGATGAAACGACCTTCGGGCGCGAAATCGTTTCTTCTGACCGATCCCGGGCCAGGTCTAAACGTGAATTGGATGAAGGCGACTCTGCAGCAAGAGCCAAGGATCCGAAGGGACCTGGGGAGAAGCCTCAGACTGGAGCAAGTCATCCTCCTCGCTCAATCCCAAACGTCAACGACAAATCGAAATCCTCGACTAGTCTTACGCCCGTCAAGGCCTCAATGGCTCGACGAAACGGTCTTGGGGAAGGCGAGGCAGCACTCCCATCAACCCGGCGAGTAAGCGAACATCAACGGACTCAGGTGCAAGAACATCACCATCCCAGTCAGAGGGGCGGTCGCGTAATTTCGATCGTCGAGCGTGGCGTGATGAGTTCCAGAAGTTCAGCAATATTGGTCGTGAATTGAAACACGCCGCCGTGCGATCGTCTACCACTGACGAAAAGCTAGCAGCTGTCACAGCGATCGAGGCCATCATGGGCTTCATTCTTGCATTTGTGGCCGATGATCAATCCAAAACAATCGCAAGGCAGGTGGGAGACTCTTCCTCGTGGCAGTCTATCATTGCATATTGGCGGGTGGTTATGAAGAACAGTACCTCATACCCAATCCTACATAGCCTTTGTCTGCTCTTGGGTGCTGTATCATACGGAGCCATTCATTCGCTTGATTTGGATCGTCTTGCAGCGAGCCCTCTACCTGGTGAACACACGCCAGTCCCTACGCCCGGTAGCGATGGCAGTACTATGCCGTCGGATGAGAACAAAAAAAGCCGAAGGGAATTCTTAGAGCTGAAAAACCGGCTTCCTGAAAGCTTCAAGGAGTCTCAAAAACTGTGGATAGAGGGAACTCGAGGCCTATCGGAGGACACATTAAGAAGAGAGTTTCCAAGTACCTGGTCTTCGCGATCTCATAATCACGCAGAACGAGGCCGAACCGTGTTAAAACCCGGCGAATATGTTGGGGACTATTTTCTACCTCTTGGGGGAATTACTCCGCCTATTGAAGTGGTGCGCTTTGGCTGGTCTCTTCTCCAAGAGTGGTGTACGCAAGAGAAAGTAGACTGGAAGAGTCGCCTGGGCTTGTAGGCTTCAACCATCGAGAACCGCCTGTGCTTTCTTTCGTTTTCGCTGTTCTCATTTCTCTTCTGGGTCTCTATATTATTTGCTCACGTTCACACGGGATCAATGGTTAATAAGGCGTCCGAGGGGGTTTTTTGCATATTCGAGCTGATTTGATTACCCATGATACCATGAGCCCTGGATGTGTGATTCGCTTGCGCTCATCTCTTGTTTTTGATCGCCCTGTCCTATCTTTCATAGAAACCCTTTATAAGCGTCATTGTTAAATATACCACACGTTCTACAAGCAAGGATAGATGCATGTCTAAGAGATTTCATTTGAACGTTATAAGATCTGGATAATGAAAGGGGAATATGAAAGGGAAGGAGGGATGCGGAATAGAATCAATGTCACACGGAAACGCCCTCCATCAGTTGTCGCTAAGTTGCCATTTACAATGCCAAACCCGCTTCAAATCAGAAAAGAAACACAAGAAAGGGAAACATGCCTAAACCTTGGGCATGATCGAAGATCCGATGGAACAAAACCATCAAGGGAATAAAACAAGGCAAAAGGTGGATTTCTGAAGGGCTATGCCGTGCGCTCCGCCTGACCCGTCCTACACCCCTTGGTACTCTGGGCGAGAGCTCGAATACGAATCACCGAAAAGCCAATGAGCTTCTCGGCAGAACTGATATTGGGCATCTCGACCATGCGTACCCACTTCGCTCGCCCAGCAGATGACTGATGCATCCACAATGTCTGCAATGACACTTTCCATGGCACCCAAGATGCTCCACCCGATAGTTCCAGCTATCAGGCCCACGACATACGCGTAAAGGCTGCCTCGAATGGTGCCTCCAGTGCCAGCGATAGTAAGGCTGCGAGCGGTTGTGACCCAGCCACCAAATCCAAGAGCAAGCGACATCATGAAGCGAGCAGCATGAAGAATCAGCTTGGAGAGTCGATAAGAGAGCAAGGACACAGATGCGCCCTGGGAACGAGGATACCCATTAGGGTGCAGGGATGTAGAAGTAGCAGATGACCCAAGGATCGTCATATGGCTCAACCCACGCGCGGAAGCAGAAAGCGGTTGAGAGTGGATGGCTCCGTAGGTAAGCGAGAGGGGGGTTTGTGAGATAGGCAATGGGTGTCGGGACAAGGGAATAAGCAAACAGGCTGAATAGCGATGATAGGCGTCTCGGGAGCAAGATCAAGGGGAGTCGAATAAGCAGTCCCAGGAGGCGCGACAGACAGATGGTTCCGAATAGGGTCGTTGTTGCATGTGCAATAGCCGCCTGAACGACCTGTCTTGAGGTGGGCGCAGGGCTTGCCGACCGATGGAAGTACCACTGGCTTACAGTCGCAGCCGTCACAGCTCGCTGAATGCCCGCAATGACCCCGATCGACCAGAGGTAGATGATGACAAAATAGACGCCAAGCCACCAGCTACTCAAGTCGATGATGAACGACCGTGGTCCAGCCAAGTGGCCGCCTAAAAAGACCCGGGTGAACATAAGCATCCAGATCCACGTCCAAGACACCACACAGGCGAGCACAGCCAGCCCTAACGCGAGTAATTCTGGGTTCGCGGCGAGGATCCGACACGAGAATTCGAGCACACCAGTTGCTTTTCCAATGGCCCGGCGGCCACGCACGACGTTATAGATCCACAGGCTGGCAGTTAGAAACGGGACAATTGAGCCCCAGCGCATCGCCTTGTCTTGGAAACTCGACCCATTCCATGTACCCTTAAAGCTTGAGATGAATGGATAAAGTGAAAATGAGTATAGGATTGCAGGGACTGCAACTATTATCAAGTAAACAAGAAGCCGCACGTAAGAGCGTAGAAGGGCGATCCAGATGAGGGAGATGAAAACAGCCACCACGGTATAGATCCCCAGGAGAGAAAAATGAGTTGTGAACAGTGAAGTAAATTGTGTCACCCCATTTTGTACGATCTCCAGATGGTGTTGAGGTGTGTAGGTAGACGAGGAAAGACGTAGCGAATAGACCAGCAAGAGAAATGAGAAACAGATGAGCCCAAAATGCATCATGGACCGAAGTTTCCGCCGCTAGAGGTGAAAGAGAAGGTGGACGAGATCCAGTAGAGCTGGCAGGGCGAGGTTCATCTGCAAGCAGATTTGACCGGTCGGTAGGGGCTTCACGAGTGTGAAACCCGAAATTGTCTTCTTTAAGCAAAGCTCTCTCTCTGAATCTTTGAATGGGAGGATCATCCCCAAGGACCTCGGATGGTGTTGGATCATAGTCATCCAAGTTGCCTCGAAGCGAGTCCTCCAGACCAACATCCACTAGATGGGCGGCTCTCGCCCTCGCACTGCCAGGACTGGCAACACGGCCTTGGCCCGGCTCAGCCGTTTCGTTTACCGTTTCTATTCGCGAGGGGGAGATGGAAGGAGCTGCGGCCTTCTCCCCACGCCATGAACTCTTGATGCCCTTCCCATTGCCGGGGCGGTTATCATATGGTGATTGTCCCTCGCCAAGCTGTCCGGAGTTTTGCGACTCATCATCATCTAACTCCGACGATTCTTTGAGGTTGCTATCTCCAAAATGCCTCCGCGATCTTTGCAAAGCATAGAAATCGGCTATTTCGCGCTCACGTTCAGTCTCGTCGTCTTCTTCCCGGAACTCATCGGCGCTCTGGAACAAAGGAGCCTGTTCCGAAGCTCGGGAGGCAAATGGGAAATTGGATATTTGAGAAGCACCTGGCCTGTAAGGGTCCCCAGATCTAAGAAATGACCGGGACGAAGGGTTTCGGGGGGCACCTTGGTTCTTGTAAGGTCGAGCACGGCCAGTCCTCTGGAGCTCGTCCGGGCGAGACACTACTCGCGACTGTGACTGGGCGAGAAAGTGTGAGGCATCTACCACCATGATTAGTCGGGATGGGTACTATCTTCTTGTCGGCGGTAAATTATCCACTATTACGTACATTCTGAGAACATGGCCTGCTTATCGGCAAGATTGATGTAGAGGGAATCGTCAAAGGAAAGAAGAGCGGGAGGATAGTATCAAACGCGGTAGAATTTTGAATTTAAAGGGGGAGTCAGAGAGGTACCCAGCCTCATACGGGTCACTAGAGTAGGGTCTGTCTCTCTGAGATACAAGAGGTGCAAGAGGCACTGGTCATTCCGGCAATGCAAGCGTCATCTGGGCAGGTCCCGAGGGAGGTCAGGCTGCGATAGCTGACTCATCCGCCACTGCGCGCGATGAGTGGATTGACTACTTTGATAACAACCTTCCACTCCTGAATAATCTCCGAAACGTCATCGTCAAGATAGTTCTCCATGTCACAGCCATGGGATTATATTGCTAAACTTGTTTGCATCGGTGATTCTGGGACCGGCAAGTCCAGTGTAAGTGGGTAACTGTCTATATGTTCTTGCTATCCGCAGATATTCCCCCAGCTTTCCTTTCCCAGCTCTATGTGCTAAGCTATCCGCAGCTCACCATTCGGCTATGTGAAGGTCGCTTTTCGCCATCCCACGATGTCACCATCGGGGTTGAATTTGGGTCGAGGATCGTCCCCGTTGGCCCCCCTGCCTCTCTAGAGCTCGAGCTCGATGCACCTCTTGGCTCTGCTGTCGCCGGCGAGACCCTCGAGGAATCCTCCGGCCTCCCCAGTCCGCCCCGAAAACCACAGGGCTCGCAACAAAAAAAAATGAAACTGTCTCTTTGGGATACAGCGGGCCAAGAAACCTACAAGTCAATCACTCGCTCTTATTTCCGTGGCGCCTCCGGAGCTCTTCTAGTCTTCGACATATCGCGGCGTTCCACTTTCACATCATGTACCCAATGGCTTCAAGACCTTCGCCAGATCGCAGAAGAAGGCATTGTTGTGATTTTAGTAGGAAACAAAACTGACTTGGCAGAGCAACCATCAGGCTCCAATCAAAGACAGGTGACGCAGCAAGAAGCAGAAGAGTGGTGTCGGTCGAACGATATTGTGCGCTACGTCGAAACCAGCGCCAAATCGGGCAACGGTGTGGAACGGGCGTTCTTGGAGGTCGCCGAACGGATTTATCGCAACATCGAGGCTGGTAAATATGACCTCAACGACCGACGGAGTGGCGTGAAAGGCTTCGGAGCTTCGGGAGGTGCCAACGCAGGGGTGCCTCGGACAGTCACATTAGGCATGGATGATGCGATGCGCAATGGCAATGGGTGGACCGGGAATTGCTGTTAGGACGACAAGCCCGAGCTTGACCGCGGACCCCTTGAAATATTGGTAGATATCGAAAGAATTAATTGGCTACAAGCATTATCTCCATTCCAGCGCACATAGCAGGATTCCTCTCCGCCTTATTAGTCAGTGAAAATCAGCCCAGGGCTGCATAATGATTGGGATCTACAATACACGTGTGCGCTTTTGCCTTTGATACACCTCGATCAATTTATGACCCAGCTTGAACTCATTCTTGATTCGATCCAGTGAAGTCAGAACGCCAAAGAGCCCCCCTAAGGCCCACACGGAGTTATCGGAGCAGCCAGAAACAAATGGGTATCACGGCTTTCGTAGTACCCGTTGGGCCATATCATCAGTTCGAGATCCTCCACTTGGAAAACCACCGCAAGTATGCCCACTGCTGATTAGGGCCTTCCATCCCAAACACAATGTCGCGGAAGTGAACAAAGAGACCAACGACAATGGTGTACAGGATGGCATAAACCACCGCACTAACCTTCGTGTTAAGTCTGCGAGTGATCCAGTCGACGCAGAAACTAAAGGTCAGAATTGCATAGTAGAGAGCTGGGTAGTAGTGATGGACATATGTCACGCGGCCCATGATAATGAAGGGCAAATAATGCAAGACCCAGCCAATGAAGACATACAAACCAGAGTAGTGAATGTGATCCATGTCTGCTTGGCTGAGATCCTGATAGCCTCGCTGCCAGCGCAGAAGATACCATAGGAACAAAAGTCCAAAGACACCTAGAGATGCCGTACTCCCCCCAGTAGACAAATGGGTTACCAAGAAGGAAATACTTGACAACGCTATCGTCCCAAGAGCACATGCGCAGCCCCACATCTAAGATAGGCCACTGCCAGAACTTCGAGGCGAGGTCATCTTGCTTATCAGGGTCGGGAACCAGCGCATTGTTTGAGGTCATCATTGCCACGTTCAAGTGGATAAAATCTTTCAAGAAAGGCGACTTGTAAGATCCAGGGTCACTAGGAGGCACTGGATGTACTTTGTTAGCTGGTTACGTTCGAAAAGGGATGTTCTGTCCAATCCTCAGCTGATAAACTTACAGCGGTCATTAGAATGTGACTCAATATTCCAATGAGTGTACACGTCCCGCGGTTTGTTCTCCTTAACGCAAGTGGTCTCTATCTGCTTGAAGCCCCATTGCGGAAGGTTGACATTGCCAGCTCGCAGGTAACACCCTAGCACTGGATGGCGGAGCCGGAATGAAGTCGTCAATGTCCGTACCCGAGAACGATCCCGCGAGGCAGCATCATCAACAACTTCGATCTTCCAATGGTCTTTGTCGTCGCCAATAGTGATGTTTCCGTAGCTCGATACCTCATAGTGTGATTTTGAGACAGGTGCAGGGATAGCGTGGGAGTGTAAGTTTCGGCCAGTCTGTCCGTGTATCAGACGGATGGTATCTCCATCGCCTATGAATCGAATATCGGCTTCAGCATCGTAATCTGGCTCTTGGCGGTTGGGATAGATGAACCAATCATTATTCGCATCTTTGTGGTGATAGCAAGTGACCTGCTGCTGCTGCGACCCTTCAGGGTAAGTCTGGACGTGAGAATGCAATAGACCACCCCCATAGCCCATGTTCTTCAGGGTGACCCGTGAGCCAATAGCAACTTCAAGGGGGCTATCCTTTCCAACTTCAGTGCCACGCAAATTGGCTTGGAAAAGAGAACTCATCTGGGCGTCTCCAGGGCCACTATTCGAGAGGATGAGAAAGTGCAAATAGAAAGAGCACAAGTAGACGAGAAGTGGGATAACGATCAGACCTCCAATGCGAGCAAAGAGGTGTGTCGCCAAGGTGGCCTGGAAATGATGTTAGGCCATCTATCTCTTGAGAGTAATCAGTTTCCAAACTTACCGGGGGCATTTTCAGGTCACCAAACTTATTCCACAGATCTTCGATTGTGTACAGGCCAACGAGTGCAGTCACACAAAAACCAACCCACTTCACGCTACAGACACATCCAATGCTCAGACCGGTCAGAGATAGCCATAGCCACCATTGCAACGAGAAACTAGCACGCTGAAGGCGGTGGAACCGGGCCCAACAGAGGGTTGTCGTGAAAGTAAAGCAAAGCAGCATCGAGTCTAGAAGAATGAAACGAGAGATGGTCGCGTATGAATTCTCACAAAGAACCATCAATGTTACCAGCCACACAGCAGCTCGCCGGAAATTCAGCTCTCGGGCAGTGTAGTAAGCCAGAGGAATACAAACTACACCAAACATAGCGTTAAACGCACGCATGAAAGTGTAGTCTACATCCTCGGGATACTTTTCGCCTGACTTGAACTCAAAGGACCCATTGTACCCGGCCAAGTAGCCCGAAAGGCCAACAAGCATCTTCCCGAGAGGAGGATGAACATCAAAGTAGAATTCGCGCTTCAAATAGTGGGAACCGAATTTTCCAAAGCTAGAAAGGTCAGAATGATAGTCCTTCAACGCTCAATCAGGAAGTTCTCAAGCTTACTGGGCTTCATCCCAAGTCACAATGTTAGAGCGACCAATGCGGTATAGACGAGTGAACAGAGCGAGAGCCGTAAAGAGGATCGGAGCAATGATTGGCTCCCATGTTGTCAGGACTTGCAGAAAGGATGACGACTGTAAGAAAGGACTTTGACTCAGTGAACGGTCGGCAGATATTGAGCAACAATTCCTACCTGAGGCTTTGTTTTCTTCAAATCGTCGGCCGCATGCGGCGTGGGCGGCTGAGGCTTGGCAGCATTTGGGACATTTCTCCGACGCAGATCGGAATCATGCTGAGCACCGGTGGTGATGGCAGAATCTGCCATGGTATCGAAAAATGGATAAGATGGAGAGGTTTGGTGGGGGAGATGACAATGCAAGTAGAGCTGGAGGGGGTTCGATATTGAAAAGGACGTGGGCCAGTTGGATAAGGAGAGAAACAGCAGCTAGAAACTCAAGGGATCATAGTGACCAGCGGCCACGGTGAGACTGATCGTGATGGTTTCGGCCGCGGGCGAAAGAGAGAGCAAAAAGAGGAGAAAAGAAAGCCCAAGAATTGGGATGAAGAGGGACAGAGAGAAAGAAAATAGATATGGGGATGAGATGGGAAAAGACGAGCTGGCCCGAAGGATAAACGCCCCACAGGCTTCTTGAGGGGCCGGTTTCGGGTGGAACGTGGTCTTCCGCATTTGCATGTACAACTCCGTCCAGAGGCCAGAATCCAGCGTCCACAATGACAAATCCAGGCTCACAGATACGTCTCTGGTCAAATTATGGATCTGAGCTGGTCCTAAGCTATCAGAACAACGCCTGGGGAAGACTCCTCAAGGTGAGAACTTGCTACGCTGCGTCAAGGCACTTCTATTCTACAAGTTCATTTATACTGTCTCCTCCACTTGGTTGGTCCAACATGGATTCATTATAATCACAAAAGGTAAAAAGCTTCGGTTAAAATCGACGCTTCTATAGGGCCCAGAGCAAGAAGATAGTAATCCATCCTAGGCAACTCAATCAATACATCATCAGGGATATACTAGAATACATCAATCCTAAGTGTGAAAATCGGGGGAGCCTGCTGATAATGAATCACGGACGAGGGCTCATTCGATATCATTGATACCCACTGTTTCTCTGTACCAATAACCCGCTGAAATGGATGGAAATGGCCAAGGGAAACAGTCAAGATATGTACACATGAAGAAAAAGCATAATCAGCTTAGAATCTGAGGGATCCGGGAATTTGTTAAACTGAAATAAGAACGGTGAAGAGAATGAGCTTCGGGGTAGCAACTAAGCGAAGGAGAAATGGACGCCAGCCGCCGATTTGCAATAACATCAAGGACGACTTGCTATAATTCATTGTCAAGCTGATCCTCTAGATTTCCTCGCCATCATCGCCCTGCTCTAGGCGCCTATACCTCTGACCACTTGGACTGCGCTGTCGCTTGACCATTTTAGATATCCAGCCTCCAATGCCCTCCCCACGAGCACTGCCATGGTGAGAGCTTGAAAGGCCTGGTTTGCTAGGTCCATCATGGCTGTGACTGAGAAAAGGCGGATCAATGTCAAGTCCAGGGATTGCACTTTCCGCGCCCACTGGACCATACGGACGACGAATATCAAAGGAAGGAACGGGCGAGCCAGCTCCCATGAGAGAACCACGTTCGCCCTCAGTGGCTGGAGTGGGCATCGCGGTTGTTGCATCACCAAATAGAAGATTCATATCTTCCAACCTGACGCCACTAGTCTCGGGATATAGAAAGTACACTGTGAAGTTGTTAGTTTTGGACCTTTAGACCTTAAACATTCAAGTGGAGAATATCCCTACCGACGACAAAACTACAAGCACAAAAGAAGGCGTGTACCAAGTATAGACGCCACTTGATGGCACTCTGTAGCACGGGGGTAACCTCGCCGACAAGCCAGTTAAAGGCCCAATTAGCCGCTGTGCTGAGACTTGCTCCCTTAGCACGAATGCTCAGGGGCAAAATCTCAGGTGGATACAGCCATGGAATTGGGCCCCCAAGATGCGCCGAATGCTGCATTGTAAATCATGACGAAAATCACCGTCAATGTCGGCGTTGCTGCAATCTCAATATAAATGAAATAAGAAATGAGAGACAGTGAGATAATCATGGCCACGGCTCCTGACAGTAAGATTGGCCGACGGCCCCAGCCATCCACCAGGTACCACGGAGGAACGGAGGAGAGGAGATATGAAATCCCGTTGATACCCGTCATTAAAATGGCGTCTCGGCCTTTCCAGCCAGCTGATTCAAAAACAAGCGGCGCATAGTACGAAATGACGTTGATGCCGTTTAGCTGGGCTAAAGCCTGCGCTGACATCGCAATGAGGACTCGCTTGTAGTAGCGGCGGAACATGTCAGAGTAAGATCGTTCGCCCTCTTGTCGTTGAAGAATAACTCCCATCTTGATTTCTCGGTACTCCTGGCGCGCATTCTCATTGTGAATATCGCCTTCGCCATACAGGTTAGCAATGACTACCATGCCCTCTTCGTCGTGATCGTTGTCCAACAGCCACCTAAAGAAATGTCAGCATGGCCCAATGACAAACACAATTTGTTTGTTTGTGTCAAGCCTCACCTAGGGGATTCGCAGATTATCAAGCTCCCCAGTCCGAGTGCAAGACCCATAATGCATTGACATAGGAGGGGCAGACGCCACGAATAATCCGATGCAATAAAGCTGCAAAAATAATCTACCCAGACACTCGTTGCATATCCCGCAATATTCCCTGTAAATTCAATACAGGCCAGTTTCCCACGATTGTGGGGGGGGCTGTCAATGTCATTAGCACAATGCCTCGGAGGGAGGGTTCAATGAATGTCACGATACCGAAATTTCCGACTGGTAGACTGGGACAATGGTTGAGAGAGCACCGACGCCGAGGCCTGCAATCACGCGACCCACCATCATCATGACCATGTTAGCCGCGAGAGCCTGGAGTAACCCCCCAATGAAGAACACAATTGAGCCATAGAAGATCGTCCGGCGACGACCGATAAGGTCACCAATCCGGCCGACCATGAGAGAAGAGACGAATGCACCAACTTCTAAGATCGCCACGACCGTGCCAATTGTTGCTCGGGAAGGCTGATTGAAGTACTCGCCAAAGTAGAATCCACTGCTTTTGGTTAGTACGACCCTATAAAACCTCGTACATCAGCTGGCAGAGGGAGGTATGCAGATACGGACGTGATAATTCCCGACATTACGCCTTGGTCATATCCGAAGAGAAAGACTCCTAATGATACAAATACGCTGGTGAAGTAGCTACGCACCTGTTCGTCAGCAACGTCCAGAAAAGCAGCAACGGGTCTTAAGATGCTCTCTTACAGCAATGGTTTGCCGACCAAGCCATGCATCTGGGCTTTCTGTCGGTTATTCGGAGACATGATGCTGGCTAATCCTCGCTCGATTCGGGAAATATGTCGCGGTGGGGGAGTAGGGGGTTCAATTTTCTCTCCAGTGAGGCCAGGGTCGCTCGTCTCCGAAGCTTGCTGATAATGGACCCGCTTGGGAAGCCCCCGCCGTCCTTTTATCGGAACCTCACGGTTTCCGCTCTCAAAGGACGGGTACAGGCGAGATCGAAGCGGATCCTCGAGCTGTTCGGCAAGATCACCGGTGTCTGACAAAATAGAAAAGTCGGGCCCGGAGAGAGTTGACGAATGTGATGACCGGCGACTCCCTTTCTCACTGGCGGATTCGAAGGCGGTGATGGTTTGCGAGGGTGAGCGGGAGAGCGATCGGAGGGGAATGGCGCGTGGGGAGGTTGGCGAAAGAATGATGGCGGTGGAAGGGGCTTGGAGGGCCCTTTAACCTTTCTAGACCCAGCGAAACTAAACAAGAGCCCGACACCTAGAATAAGAGAGGTAGTACTGTACACACAGGGCCTATGGCTGAGAAGCCAGGGTCTCTCTTCCTCTGCTAAGGGGTTACCTAGGCAGGTTCCCCAAGTTGCACAGGTGAGCGAGTCAGGTGTGGAGGTCGCGGGGGGGCAAGCGTGGCCGTGACTTGGGGGATATGGCGGGGAAAAGTTTGGCGAGGTGCTAAATCGTTAGATATACACCTTCTAAGGCATGCATGCATGTATCTATTTTAAAGCAATGAGAGGCTTGGGACGTGGACCAGTCAAAAAAAAAAAGAAAAGAAAAAGAGGGCTCCTTTCCCAGCTCTCTCTAGGTGATCTCTCGAAGTGGCCTTGTTTAGACGGAGTGACTGCGCTATGGGATATCTGTTTTGTTGCCGGGTGTCTCAATAATAAAAGGTAGCAAACGTTGGTGTTCAGGGTGAAGGAACAAGGCAGGGGCCCCCAATACGGGGCCGCGCAACTACGTAAACGCTGTCAGATCGGTGGATCCACAGTGGAGATTCACTCCCGTGGACGGCTGTGTGTTCTATCTTCAGTGAAATTCGATCTCTTTGGTCAATATAGGATGGAGTAACCACGAGTCCCTACTAGGACGTTCATTGCTTTCAACTAGGACTATTCCGAGTGATCGCAGGGGACTTGTACTTAGTGAGTGGCCATAGGTTAGAAGATGATCATGTGATGCCATTGTACAAAGCCTCCAACGTTTACATATTTAGTGGTCTGAGCAAAGAAGATTTAGCTTCGATGAGTCTATTTCTATCGGGTATCACTGCATATGAATGTTGTACATAGACAGGTAGGTTCTCTATACATGGTGCCGCATCGAGAGAAAGAGTAGAGATTGTTCACGCCAAAAGGATATCGTATCCGTCCTTTTGGATATGCACAGCATCCGCCAAGCTGGCGTATCGTCGACGCACCAGCTCGAATATCACAAGCCCCGCGCTAGTGCTAGGCACTTGTCGAAGAGAGCTACTCACGAACCCACGAAAAAGCCAGGGCCGCCATCCACCGGCCCGCATGGCCTTACGTTCACATCGTTTGAATGTCTCTTGATAGGCATGGTAGTATAGTCGAAACATTTGTCGACGCGACGGATCTAGACTGGCCTGATGATCGAGGTACTCGAGTCGGCCCAAGTGAAGATCCTGCAGCCTGCTTAGAGGGTGCTGAATTGCCTGTTGGGCAACCGAGGCCACCACACCAGCCATCATCAGGAAGCACGGTTCTAGTGCATAATGCGGTTTGATCGAAGGTACCCCCCGACCGCTAGACTCGGCCGGAAGAAGGGGGATGTGGTCTGCACGGAGTGAACCATAGTACCAAGTAATGAAAGAATAATACGCCTGAGACTTCACGTATTCAAAGGAAGAGAAGAATACTGCATACCCAAACGAGTCTCGGAGGAAAGACAAGCTCCACCCAGCAAAGACTCCGCGAAGACCGATCTGCTTCAGTTTGTGATGGCCGTAGTGCCACATGCTCCGATAATGACCCTTGAGCATCTCGCTGGTTTGGAGACGAACTTGCAGTGCATCTAAAGGCGCCGCTACGATTGACTGAATAGTACCAGCTGCGAATCCAGCCATGAAGGTGATGGAAGGAGGCGCAGGGGGCCACACGCGCTTCGCACCCTGGGACACCGGTTCATGGAGAGCTCCCAAGACTTGGAGGTAGGAAGTATACAGCACAGCCCCAACACTATAGATCAATAAACCAAAATCAAGGTTAGTAAATCAAACTTGACAGAAGATCTTGGTCTAATCCTCACCCCGCATTTGCCAGCAAAGGCGGCAATACTTGATTTGGAATGAATTTCCAGCCATAAGTGCGGACAGCATGAAGTAGCAAGCCGGGTGTCGTAGTATGGAGGGACCATTTTCCTTCTGCAACCCGAGGATTCACAGCTCTTGCAAAGGCCTACTTAGGAAGTGAGCATTGGCACCGATTAGTCTAACCCTGCGCTTGAAAATGAAATGAGCGTACCATATAGCTAAAGAAGGTTAGCATTCATCACAAACCTAAAGCCTGTGGCGCTGGTCGCATAGGAACCTACTCAACACGAGTGCGAAAGAAAGCTTTGACTGGAGCTCGAAAGTAGAAAGCGACCATTTGTGCACTAAGAGCACGGACTCCTGCAGCAGATGCTCCAGTAGCAGCATCGTTGCGAGGTTTCCTCCGTTGGTCTGGGTCCTGAATGTGAGGCTCCACGAGAATCGGGTTCATTGTTGATACCGTAGGTCTAGTGAGATCGGGGGTCCATGGTTTTGTGGCGAGTCAATATGAAGAGCGCGGCAATAAGCCCTTCGTCGCAGGTGGCCAGGCGCAAAATAGGTCTTTCAGTAAACGAGGTCAAGCATAATGACCTAAAGGACAGAAGGAAAACGAGAATCGATTATCGGAATATTCAAAAGGTCTGCAAGCCCCGAGAGATCAGAGAGATCCGGGATGCAGCTGGACAAATGACGCTATGCCCAAACAGGTAAAACTGAGCACGGGGGCCCGCTGCACCCAAAACGCGCTTTTCGCGTTCCTCCTTCTTTTTCATCTTCCTCTTCTAAGGGATTCTCACCTTGGACTGGCTCTCAGTTTCCAAATCCCCATTCTCACCACGCTCTTCATCTCCCCTTCCCCTTCTTCTGCTCGGCCCTAGGAGCCTTCAAATGCGACTTTGATCGCAGCTCCCCCGGTGCATCTCAGTAACTCGCTGCGGTTACTGCTCGCAGCGGACTATTCAATATGGCCGAGAAAATTACTATTGACAAAACCAATTTCTTCAACCACCTTTCCACCCTATACACATCATGGAAGGCTGATAAACGCGCGGGAAACACCCTCTTCGGAGGTGCTGGCTCTATCGTCATCCTCATGGGCAAGAGCAAATCCGAAGAAGATACCTTCCAAAAGAACAATGCCCTGCATGTATGTGCTTCCATCCTCATGAAACCCCTTCAAGGCTTTCCAACCCTGTTCGCATGGCTGATCTACTTTGGTACTAGTTCTGGCTTCTCGGGTATGAATTCCCTGCCACACTCCTTGTCCTGACCACAGAGGCTGTCTACGTTGTCACAACTGCAAAAAAAGGTATGGTTTTTCTGCGCTCAATACTTCGCGGCCTTTTTTCGCTAAAACAATTTTCGAACAGCCGAGCACTTGGAGCCTCTAAAGGGCGGTAAGATCCCAGTCGAGATCCTAGTGACAACAAAGGATCCACAATCCAAGACGAATGCCTTTCATAAGTGCTTAGATATTATCAAGGCTGGCGGGGTGAGTCACATTGTCTCAGGAGAGCGAATTGTTTGTGAACAGCTTCGCTAACTATACTACCTTTTAGAAGAAGGTCGGTACCCTCCCGAAAGATACAACATCCGGTCCTTTTGCAGACGAGTGGAAACGTGCATTTGCCGACATCTCGAAAGACGTCGAAGAGGTGGACATTACACCTGCACTTTCAGCTGCACTTGCCATCAAGGATCCCGAGGAACTGGTGAGTCTATCCGAGTCTCAGGCCACTTCATGGTTGAGGATAAGGGCGAAGCTCACATTTGTTATAATTCCAGGTGTCAATCCGAAATGCTTCCAGGGCCTGCAGTGGACTGATGTCCGGATACTATGTGGACGAAATGTCTCGACTTCTTGATGAGGAGAAGCAGATGACACACAAAGCTCTCGCCGGAAAGGTTGAAGCGAAAATTGATGATGCCAAGTTCTTTAACAAACTTGAACGTCTCCCGGCTGAGTTCGATGCCAACCAGATTGACTGGGCTTATGGACCAGTCATTCAGAGCGGAGGAGCGTATGACCTTAAACTAACGGCCATTCCCGATGGCAAGAATCTGCAGCCTGGCATCATTCTTTGCAGCTTTGGAATTCGCTATAAGACATACAATTCGCTGATTGGGCGTACTTACTTGGTGGACCCAACTAAGTCACAAGAAGCCAATTACGCATTCTTGCTCAGTCTTCATGAGACAGTCATGAAGGAGATTCGCGATGGAGTTGTTGCCAAGGAGCTTTACAATAAAGCTTTGGGTCTCGTTAAATCAAAAAAACCGGAGCTGGAGAGCCACCTGGTGAACAGCATTGGCGCCGGCATCGGTATTGAGTTACGAGATGCTAACATGATCTTGAACGCAAAAAATAACCGAGTCTTGAAGAATGGCATGACTCTGTCAATCACCATCGGGTTGACCGATGTTAAGGATGCCGATGCCAAGGGCAATGGAGTCTATTCTATGGTCATCACTGACACGGTTCGCGTTGGGGACACTGGTCCGCATATCTTTACCAAGGATGCCGGTATTGATATGGATTCGGTCTCCTTTTATTTCAGCGATGATAAGGAGCCCGAGAAGCCTGTGAAGGAGAGAAAAGACTCCAAGTCCAGCACTGTGAACAGCAGGAATGTGACTCGCACCAAACTTCGCGCTGATCGACCGTCCCAAATCAACGATGGTGCCGAAGCTCGACGCCGGGAGCATCAGAAGGAATTGGCTGCCAAAAAGACCAAGGAAGGTCTGGATCGGTTTACTGGTACCACTGGAGATGACAACAGTGTAGCCCAGAAAAAGTTCAAGCGATTTGAATCTTACAAACGCGACAATCAGTTACCTGCCAAGGTTAAGGATCTCACCGTTTATGTCGACCACAAAGCCTCAACTGTCATCGTCCCTATCATGGGAAGACCAGTACCGTTTCATATCAACACTATCAAGAATGCTAGCAAGAGCGATGAGGGCGAATACGCATATCTACGTCTAAATTTCTTGTCGCCTGGGCAGGGTGTTGGTAGAAAGGATGACCAGCCATTTGAAGACCCGAATGCCCACTTTGTGCGCAACCTGACCTTACGGTCAAAGGACAACAGCCGACTCGCACAGGTTGCTCAGGATATCACGGAGCTCCGCAGAACTGCTTTGAAGCGGGAACAGGAGAAAAAGGAGATGGAGGATGTCGTGGAGCAAGACAAACTCACCGAGATTCGCAGTAAGTCCCCTATTACTTTACTTCCTATCTTTATCGGTATTTTATCACTGGCATTCTAATTCATTACCAGACCGCCGTCCGGTCAAGCTCCCGGACGTATACCTTCGGCCTCCTCTGGATGGGAAGCGAGTCCCTGGCGAGGTAGAGATTCATCAGAACGGTCTACGTTACCACTCGCCTCTTCGTTCCGAGCATGTAGATGTGCTTTTTAGCAACGTCAAGCATCTGTTCTTCCAACCCTGTGCACATGAGCTGATTGTCCTCATCCATGTTCACCTGAAAACCCCGATCATGATTGGGAAGAGGAAGACTCGAGATATCCAGTTCTACCGCGAGGCGACTGAAATGCAATTTGACGAAACCGGTAACCGACGACGCAAGCATCGATTCGGCGACGAGGAGGAATTCGAAGCTGAACAGGAGGAGCGCCGCCGCAGAGCTGCCCTTGACCGCGAATTCAAAGCATTCGCCGAAAAGATCGCCGACGCTGGAAAGGACGAAAATGTTGATGTAGACATTCCTTTCCGGGAGATCGGGTTCACTGGCGTGCCAAACCGGTCTAATGTCTTGATCCAACCAACGACAGATGCTCTCGTACAATTAACCGAGCCCCCTTTCATGGTGATCACTCTGAATGAGATTGAGATTGCCCACCTCGAAAGAGTGCAGGTGAGACGCCCTTGCTTGGTCCCTTTGTGCTCGAATGTCTTCACTAACATGATTATAGTTTGGGCTCAAAAACTTCGACTTGGTGTTTGTCTTCAAGGACTTCCACCGGCCTCCGGTGCACGTCAACACGATCCCTGTGGAGTCACTGGAGGGTGTCAAAGACTGGCTTGACTCTGTTGACATTCCCTTTAGTGAAGGTCCCTTGAACCTCAATTGGGGCACGATCATGAAAACTGTTGTCAGTGATCCATATGGTTTCTTCGCTGACGGTGGCTGGTCCTTCTTAGCTGCTGAATCCGACTCCGAGGGTGGGTCTGATGAGGAGGAGGAGTCGGCTTTCGAATTGTCTGACTCTGAGCTGGCCGCTGCAGACGAAAGCTCCGAGGAGGATAGTGACTTCGATGATGACGCGAGCGCTGATGCAAGCGAAGACGAAGACTTCAGCGGCGATGAGGAGAGCGGAGAAGATTGGGATGAACTGGAGAAGAAGGCTAAGCGCCATGACAAGGAGACAAAGGCGGAAGATGATGACCGAGGAACCAAGCGCAAGCGCTAAGGGGGTCCGTTTTAATCAGCTTTATTTCATTACTCGATGTCATTTCATCGCGCTGTACTATTCAATTACCTGTTATGATATTTCTCATGTGTTCCTTTCCCGTCCCCTTGATTTGGGGAGGGTGTCCAGGGCTTAAGACTGGCAGTAGGGATCAAGACTCAAATATCATTCATTACTAGTGTCTCTCGTTCCAGGCGCTCATCCGGGTGTATTGGCCCATCGTTCAAATAATGTCCGGACGCGAATGGGCGATAAACGACCTGCGCAGGATTGCAATTTGAGGTGGCGATTGCATAATGGCTTTTCTCGCTGGACACTCGGTTTCTATCGAGGCTTCCGAAATCTTGCGCTGTATTTTCTTGACCATACACATAATATACTGCGTATAATACTATATTGAAGACCAGGGAGGTAAACGGTGGACTAATTTTCCAACAGTCCATTCGAACACATCGGTCCTAGTATGACCGGAATGAGATGAATGTACCCAGGTGATGACCCGAAGCTATGTGCCAACAAGTGCAAGACCAGAGATCGAGCTTGTGTCGATCTACGGGTAGCACTGAAGCAAATGTGCGCAGCGATGTCTTATATATAGTACGCGGCAACTGAGACTGGCCAGTTGTGCTCGACGAGCCATATGTCGCGTCAGCTATACCCCCACCGCATCAGCATACAGCAGTCATACCTGACACCGGTACGCCTAGATGCACCTCACAATGATCGAAATGTACAAGGCTCTTGGATTGGCTGCTACATAGAAAGCGAATACTCATAAAGGCCTTATTTTCCGACACGCATTGTGGACCACATATTCCGCATCCGTTGCATCTGGCCGTTCGTGAACATTTCATAGCAGACGTCCGAAGAATAATCCATGAAATCATGGACCGCATCAAGTCCAGGAGAATCTGGGCATGAGTCCTTACGGGAGGGGCAGCCATCAGTGGGAGTAGATTGCTGCGGTGTATCCGCGATATAATCTCCAGGATTGTCGGCAGAACAGGACTCTCCTTGGAAGGTGTGTAGAAGACCGTTCCAGTGTCCAATCTCGTGGATGGCAGTTCCCCACGGTTATATAGATCCAGAGACCCCCCTGGCATTGTCTTGGCTAATATGTTGCACCCATCCTTCACATAGTCCTCCCGGGGGCTTGTCGCATTGATACTCGGGTCCGGCAATGTACAGAAACCCAGGATGCTTGAAGACATATCATCACTGATGGTATTTGCACGGTGCTGAGAACGACCAGCCTGTCCAGCTGTCGCCTGGAGATCGGTCTGGAAGAAAACATTCAACGTTCGATAGCTTCCTTTCCGCAGTGCCTGCTTCATCGCCAGGTCATCCCCATTCTGTGCCCAGTGGTCATTCACATGCCGAGTGACACCATGGAGTCGGTACTGAATGGACGCATCCCTATATGCATCTTGCAAGATCGAAAACTGGAACATGTCATATTAGCGACAACCGAGACAATGAAGAGACAGTGAACGCTAGAAATGGAGAGCAGGAGACAGCTAGAAAATGGCGGAAACGAACCTGTGCATTGATCATCGCATCTGTAACCTGGTTCGCCTCAGACCGGCTACTAATGATATGGAACCATGTATCTATCTCGATGGGACCCTCGCGAGCCTCGGGTACATTAGGGTCGGGGTTTGTCTCATCAATTATAACCTGCTGAAGAGCTCGCAGAAGAGACGGATTAGGCTCCTCAGTGGCACATACACCACGTTTCTGGAATATCACCGGGGAAGACTGAACAGGCAGAGAAAATAAGGCTGTAATGAGGACAACAAACAACTTGAAGGAGTGACAGACCATGTTGCTATGGTGTGGTGAAGAGAGCCCTAAGAACACAAACCCCCCCGCGACTAGAAACATCGCGAGCAACCCTATGCAGCCCGTCCTCTATATGACTGGACGAATTGCTTGCATTGCTAAACCTGTTCTGATAGGACGACCCCGGAGAATGCTTCGTCATGATGGAATGCATGTCCCACGCAAGGGGCCGGCGACATCATCAAGACCAGCAAGCATGAAGTCGCCGCGGCGGAGAGATTATAACGAATCACAGGCCAATCCGTATCATTCTTGAGCTAGTCAGAGGAAAGGATGAGGTCATCTCAAGGGGGAAACGGAAGAAAGAATGCCCATTGTTGTGGCCAATGGAAATAGTAGATACATAGAAACTCCTTGTTTGAACACCATATCCCAAATAGACCCATTTTCACAAAAGAGAAAATCAAACCATGGAAAGCAGTCGTCCTTTAAAGAAAAAAAAACAAAGGCAGGAAAGGAAAGCTAGAAGAAACCCGTAACACACCTACGAAGGTGAGGTAAACGGGTTGAGGGCAGGCAACAAAATTCGAATATAACACCTAGGAGAAGGGCCTAGAAGACGGGCCTCTCAAGGTGCACTTGCTCGACCAGTCGCCATGGCGGTAGTCGGTTGGTTGGATGAATCCCAGGTCAAGTAGGTGTGGTCACCCAATTTTCTAAGAAATTATATTAGATTTCCCAGAGCTCATAAATCCCCAATTTTAGGATAGGACACATACCTGGGTCGCACTAAGTGGGCAATTGTAAACAGAGCTCCAAGGAGCACGCAAATACCCCCGACAACCACGTACGCAATACCCATGAAGGGATTCTTCCCACCAAGGACGGTGCGGGTAGATATCAAGATCGACTTGGTCCCATGGTACTCAGTGACAGGAAAGTCTATAATGTGAATCAGCAATAGATAGCTTAAGACGCCTTACGGACGCCTCAGGGCTGCCTGACTTACGATCAGTGATGTTCAATTTGTATATCCCAGGAGCCATGGCAGTGTCATCATTCCGGCGCGCAAGTTTGCTAAACGCTGGCAACCCAGCCGTCCTCATCCAGACCATCAAGTCCTCCATCTCATTCAAGTTGGGGAAGTTCTCGTCTGTGTATGTCCCGTTGCCGTACGTCTTAACCCAGTTGGGCGGGGGCATCACATCCGACGGCTTATACTTTGACTTTTTGAATAACGCCTTGTCACTTTCCCAAGCTATCCCCTTGTCGGTCATGTTATAGTATGTTGGGGCCCCATCGGTGGACATGAACAGTGGGCTGCCGATACTGTCATTGAATTTAGAGTTCGCGATCAACCCGCAGGGGTAGTACGGCTTCTTGGTGACAGGATCGGTTGTAAGAGGCTCACAGGTGCCGCCTTTGATAGTTTTGGATGGGACAGCCGTGCCTTTCAACTGGTCTACATCCAGAGATTGTACGTAGCGACGGTGGTTTTGGTAGAAGTTTGTAAGGCGGTAGTAAAGATAAACAGGGGGCCCCATTGACTCGGGAATGTCAAAGGTGAGGATGCATGTGGTAGCGTCTGTTGTGGAATTGTGATATTGCTGCCATGTTGGTTTGCTCCTGGGGGTCGCTTTGAATGTGTAGGATACCCCGCTGGGAATGGTAGCCGGGTTACTCGTGGGGGCTTGGGACAAACAATCAGAGTAATCGATTACGATCTCTTGAACCTAAAATCACACCACTTGTATTAGCCAGTAGTAAACCAGGTAAAGGGGATTCCAACGTACCAGGGAGCTTGCCCACAAGAGGACACCTCCAAGGGGAGCGAAAATAATACCAATAGCAAAGAAGAGAGGCAAAACACTTTTAGGGGTCAAGATCGGTCTGATGTCGCTTCGTCAGTACTTCCCAGGTATCTTTAAGCTTTTCATTGGATGGCATGACATACTGCCAGGCTTTCAATCGTTGTTGGCGAAATGCAGTGTCTAGAATACCAGATGTTTTAGCACGTGGTTAAGGAGAGGAGTGCTTCGGCCCTTAGGCAGGGGGGATGCTCACTCGCTGGTCGCCGGGACTTCGGCTTCTTGTCGCCATCGGCCCGGGCACGATCCTGATCGTCAATAGAGTCGGCACGAGCCCCCTCAGCCTGCGACATGGCTTCGATGAGAAATGTACGTGAGAAGGCAGAGAAAGACGAGGTTAGAGGCGAGTTTGACGCGGGAGGCGAAATGCAGGAGACGTCAGAAAAAGGTGGCGCCGGGCGGAATACATTATGCCCCACAATTCAGGCGCACATCCGCGACCGGCAATCTGGTTCCCATTTTTACAATACAATGGTGATCACTCTATATTTAGACACACAGGACAACATCTAGTGCAACTGTTAACCGGCAACTAGTCTTGCATGATTTCCTTCCATCGCGTTGAGGTTCGATATGCCTTGGTCATGCTGTGATCAACGAAACGGGCCACGGCCGTACCTATCGTGTACGGACCTCGGGATACGCCACTAAGCTTACCAATCGTCTAACCTCCGTGGGTTGCCGTAGATTTTACAGCCAAGCAAGCGACTACATTATAAGAAAAAGAAGACTAAGGATATGATTGAAAAGATTTGTATCTGGTCAGGGTATCAGATTGCCCGGTAGCTCTTGTTCCAAGAGCCTTCCAAAGCACAAAGTGGTGAAAACAAAATGGCAAGAACATCACGGTCATTGTAGATCGAACGAAAAGTTGCAACAACTCCAGGTGTAAGTTGGGGGGTATGTTAGGAACTGTCCCAAGCCAGCCATTCTAGGGATCAAATATGAGAACACCCAAACGCCAAAAGTCAAAGACGAAACATTGTGTCGTGCGGAGTTCGTTGATGCAGCTAGAATCAAGAGACGAAAGGAGCAAAAAACATTCAAGAGTCATTAAGATCCGCATTAAGCGAGCTGGGAAAGAGTGGCAAGTGTCACGGCCGAGAAAGTGGAGGAGTAAGGAGTAAGGGCAAAAACAGTAAACGAAATTTCGACCAAAAATCGATGAACAGCCGACGGGAGTTGCTAAAAGCGCCGACGGAAACCCGGAGAGAATGGAGAGCGAAGCACTGATGAGAGAAGCCCGGATGGCACATGTACGATGGCCCCCAGTTGACGCAGTATGTGCAGGGTAAAATAGATCGGAATAATTCGAAAACGAAGTGTTCATCGACCGATTCACATAGACAGAACCAAGCCATTTGACGCCCTTGATGCTCCCATGTAAGGACGATCACTTCAGGGGAGTGTGGTTTGGGGCATCGCCTTCCTGAGAAACCGCCAGTTATAGGGAGAGGCGTACTGATCATGTGATTGAAAAAAGGTGGTTTGGAGATAAGAGAGGGGGATCAGGGAGAGGAAGACTGTCTGCCGCACGCTGTCATATGGATATTGACGCTGCAATTCATCGAGCAAGGCGGTGGGTGGTGGTCTCAGAGATGGCGGAAAAACTCTGGGTTGAACCAGCCAACTCGTTCATAGGCGGTCCAGAGTTTGCTGGCCTTGTTGACATCGATCTTGCAAGCCTGTTGAGCATCTGTCTTGCGGAACTCTTTACCCACTTGCAATGCTCGCACACGACCCTCGAAGATTCTGCGCTTGCTGCAGAGATAAGTGGCGCAAGACAATCTCAGGGTGGAAGCCAGATTGAGCTCCGCTGGACTCAGGAGATGTCTGTCCGCGTCATTGCTCAAATCCAACATCTGACCTTTCCAGTCGGCTTTCAAGGCCTTGGCGTTGGTACCCAAAGTTTCCAAAGGCGGGGAATAGTCAGGGAGGGCATTGTAGTCCGTGTCATCTCTGTTAGTGCCCAAGGCGCGTGGTTTAGATGTCGGTGAAGAGTCAAATGTATCCAGTGTCTGCGATTTAGGGGTAGATTTGGGGGTACGCTTGACTCGTGGGCGAGACACCCTAGGGGCCACACCAGTCTTCTTTACGGGAGCAGGGGCAAGCTTTTTCAGCTTGGCCTCCAGATCTCCTGGTCGGTGGCGATTCATCAAGATCAGCTGGCGCTCCAGCGTCTCTCTCTCCTCTCGGGCCCACGCCGCTGGGTTGCGGTTGTACTGAGTCGAGACAATGGGTACACAGGACAAGGCAAGTAGATACTCATCACGCGTTGGTTTGCTGCGCTTGTTTACAAACTGAGCCATGTGTGAGTTCATATGTTGCTCGACAAGGGCCTCGGCTGTGGGTGGATGAACCGGACCAAAGAGTGGTTCTTCTGTAGTTCCAGTCAAGGATTCATGGCGAGGAAACAGGACAGGATCGCGTGTGGATCCGACATCACGCTCAATATTCTCCGAAGAGTGAGAGCGTGCTTGCTTCGCGCCCGTGTATGGAGTCACGGGGGGCGAGGGTAGATCCATTTCCGATTGAGTGCGCTTGCGATCAGCTGAGATGGGAGGAAGTTTCATCTCTAGAGTAGAAGAGTCCTTGGGGAAAGGAGATGACTGGAAACTATCCAGTGGCTTCGTGTCGGGGGGCGACATAAGGCTCGATACTGGAAGACGATTCATGGTGGGAGTTTGACCAGGTCGGTCAATGCCCGATATCATTTCCTGAGCTGAGTAGTTGAGAGATCGGGGGAGACTGAGGTTGGCAGGGTAAGAAGGAACCAAAGCGTGGATCACACACAAGTCAGTTCGTATTTGAATGCAACAAAGCGATCGGTTGTTGGGTACTGATTATTGGGTACTGGGTATTGCTTGGGTTCCCCAGGAAGAGAGGGGTTGTCTAGAGGGGAAGAGGAGGGATTGAGGATGGAAAAGCAAAAGGTTTTCAGGGAAAGAAGAAAGGGAGATCAGGTTAATTGCAAGCTCATGTACACGAGGCAGGCAAATGACGGAAGTCAATGGAAATTGAATGTCTCTGTAACTGATTTGTCAGGTTGTATTCACAGTGGCAATAAGCGGCGTTAAGAGCCAATACCCGAAGTATGAGTCAATGGGCAGGAGAGAGAAGGGAAGAGGGGAAAGAATAGGGAAAAGATCGAAATAAAAAGGCTCCGACGCTTTTCTAGGCTGTCAAAGGGCGGATAAGGCAGAATGGATTTACTCTGAGGCTGTGATAGATAGCGAGTGAAGACAGAGAGGGGAAAGCACCAAAGAGGGAAAGTACGATGAGTCAATGGGTTGCGGGGTGGCAAGTCATGCTCTCCATCAAGTCATCTGGGCCCCATGACACACAGATCGCCCCATTGGGCCCCATGACAACATCCCATGCGGACCATCACCTAATCCTGACACGGTCTGCGCCTCGGATACGCCAATGGATCCTCAATGGATCCTCAATGGATCCTTGTGACGGGGGTCCGCGCCCACCAATCACCTCCTATCACAGCCTATGCAGCCAATGATCGCCATGGTGCATTACTGGGTAGCGTGATCGTGCCGATCTGCAAGCTGATCTCATTTGCCTTGATTCCCAGCAGATGACCTGCTCGAGTCCACGAGTCGACAGAGGCTACGATGCAGATATCCGAATACTGGAATTGAGCCATTGGACATCGAAGGCAACTTGAGCTATTGAATGAAACGGTGCCTACGATGCCCATCTTGGCCCAAGGTCTGGGGCCGTGCAATTGATTCTGGAGGCGCCAGAACGATAGGGCCCCCCTTGATCCTCTTATCGAGAACCCCTAATTGGCGGGTTATACTTAGAGGGAGGGGTATCCCCACCGGTTGGAAGCGGCCTGGGTGATGCTAATGTACCTCATGGCCTCTGATGCATTCTGGAGATAAGATCTTTCCTTCGGGGTTTCTGCTCTTTCCTCTTCCAGACCAAAGGCTGAGTGCTTATTGATGACTCAGCCACTCGCTAGGCTTTCCAAGGATGGCTATGCATACAGCACGAGATAAGTAGACGGCGTTACGATCTCTTCCACGAGCCTTGTTATCCGACAGCCAGACTCCAAAGTTCTATCGCATACCACGACCAGAGTATTCGGGCATTGCCCCCAGGGTACATAGCGTTATTCGAAAGAGCGATCTATATCCCCATATCATTTCATCGCAGCAATCAGTGCTATATGTACCTAGGTATAGTGAGTTGACTAGTTAGTTGACTTACTGCGTAATTGACTAGCCTGTAGACTAGTTAACTACTTGGCTACTACGGCTTATATGAAGCCATAATTGAGTGATTATATTCTTATACTTCTAATATGGAGGTATTGCTTAGACTCTTTTATTGGGTGTATTCGGCCACTTGTGATATATGGTGCATATGTCTTACTCTTATGCTGAGGCGCAGGATAGCACTTTGTTAGAGTTCTTGGTAGGCTACAAGCCGCTCTATTGCTATATAATAGCCTGATTCATACAGAAAGCCAAACTGGGAGTATCACTGTACTGATATATAGTAGACGAGCGAGGATGTAGAATATTATATAGTTACAGGGGTGCCAAGAAAGTATAACTGAAGATCGAACTTGAATGACTAGAATATATTCGGCTTTATTTTGTTCCGAGTATCTAGGTATTGATTAGCCAGATATCATAGACTCCTAGCTGGTCCTATCTAGGTGATAAGGTCCTTAGAAATAATACTTCTTGTTATAGAATTATTTCGATCAGTCAACCAAGATCCAAGTAGGCCTGGCACTTACCCGCCCTGCGTGTAAGGGAACTACCAGATTTAGGTAGCACCAGGTGACCAGGCGAGATAATGATATTCGATGGGATTCCACTGTAGGTTTCCGGTCTGAACAAAGACTAAAGTTTACTCTTCCCATCTGAAAGAACAGACCCTTTTATAAGGGGGATTCGCCAGGGGTTTGGCCCGGGCCTTGAGTGGTACAACTTTAGCTCGAAGGATCTCGATATATCCTCAAAGACGCTTCTAACGTTGATTCGATAGCATTTCACCATTGAATCTCATTATTTCTTGACACCGCAGGTCTAAGATCAGGAACCTCTATCTATATCTTAGAGGATCAGGGTCTAACCTCGCCGATCCTGATCCTAATACTGACCCTCTGAGGGTCCCTCGAGGATTATCTGTATCAACCCTCGTCGACCCTTAAATAGATAATTTCTGTGAAGGGCTAAAGCAAGACTTGATTCAATCTATACTAGGCCACGAACTGTGTTCGATAAACTTAAGGAAAGGAGTTCAATATACCGGTCCTCCGCTATTAGTACGCCAAGGTTATGTGTCCTACGTGATCAACACCGGGCTCTGGCCCGTGATAATATCCCCCTCCTAGCTTTATTCGTGTAATGGGTATAGCAATGTATGTTTCCGCCTCTAATTGCTGTCGAATTACCTGTTGAACGGGGCTATATTAAGCCTCGAACTTATCTAGTGTTGTACAGTCTTCTAAGTCGCTCAATTTCTACCAGGTTTGCTTTGTCTAGCCGATCTATTTCACGAGGGCTTTGTTGTAATATCTTCTCCCAATTTTCTTGCATCGAACAGCTATGATCTGTTCAACTTTGTACTCTAACTCGTTGTCTATCAATAGTGGTGATAGCTATATATTATCTACAATCTAGAAGAGCAGTAGATCTGTAGTTGTAGGTTGTATTAATTCGATATAGAATACAAGATAAATACTAGTAGGAATATCTAATTAGATAGTATATAATAATAAAATATCGATTACTTAATATTATATATATAACTAGTCTAGTTTTTTTAAAGGATATTAGATATATATATTCTACAAGTTTAATTATATATAGTCTCTCTTCTAATATACTAGTATAGCTTATTATTATTGATTTGTCTATTCTTTTTATATTATTTATATAACAGCTATTATTATCTAGGTCTAATTAGTAATTTTTTATAGATAATTTATAAAGATTTTATTTACTCACTTGGGCTGTATTAAGATATCTTTTAATTAGTTAATATTATTAATTCTAATCAGATTAATATAATATTTATAAATAAAGAAAAATAGTAATATTCTAGTAATAATAGTATTATGATTATTAATTATAATAGTAATAATTAGTAATAGTTTCTCTTAGTTATCTTATATATAAGTAATAAATATATATAGAATATATTCGATCTCCTAGTTAATATACTCTATTATATTATTAATTTATAGATAAAATATTATTAATAAATACTATTATATTAATAGTTTCTTATATACTCTCTTCTAAAACCTATTTATAAATTAAGAGCTATAATTATTTACTATGACTAGTAAGACTTTATAATATATATAAAAATATATTAGAAATATATAAGACCTCATCATAGAACTTCCACAGATAGGGATTTTGGTTCCAGTTCTGTGGGATGGATAGGCAAGTCCTACCCATTATCCATCCCCATCTACCTAGTATAGACTATGGGATATTCGCAGGTTATCCACGAATTACCCAAAAATACATAATTACCCCTTTTTAGACATACCAAGTTGTATAAAATCGCTTACTTACCTAAGTAAATTACAGTTTTTAATAGCTGTTCTAGTTAGCCTCTAGTTTATAAAGTGATACAACTATATTGACTATATAAATTAAGTATTAAAGTTTAAAAGTGTTATTAGTAGCTCTGGTAATAGTAGTTTATATCTATATTTAATAGATTAAATTTTATAATAAATAATTATAGATAATATTATAGATTATATATTATTAACTATTAAAAATATATATATATATTATAAAAAAGTAAATATATCTTCTTAATAATATAATTATATCTTTTTTATATACTTTTATATTAATAAATCTAATTAGCTATTTAATAAATCGAATTATATATATTATTTTTATTTAAATATAAGCTTTATTTTAACAAAATTATATATATTAAATATAAAATAACCTTAAATAATAATATCTATCTTAAAAATAATAATACTTAAATATAAAAAAAGAGATTAAAATAAGATAGATAGTCTATAGATAACTTATAAGTTATCTACAAGTTATTTATAGACTATTTATCTATCTATAAATAACTTATAAGTTTAACTAATTAAAATATATATTATAGATATAATAGATTATTTATTTATAAGTTATTAGAAAAAAAAGGATTAAAATCTCTAAATCTATCAATCATAAAATTTATTATAATAAATACTTATTTTATTATATAATTAGAGATAACTAGTCTAATCTTATTTCTTTTATTATAATATCTTAATTCTTCTAGTTCTTTAATATATATATATTATCTTTATATAATATTAATAATCTAGATAATCTTTAGATTATTTAATCTAATAATCTTATCTCTAACTTTTTATTTAACTAATAAATATTATAATTAATTATTAATTTGGATTTTATTTATCTATCTTATATAATCTTTATATCTCTCTCTTTTAAATATATCTATCTTAATTAAACTTTAATATATCTTATTTATTCTAATATAATAAAAGATAATTTTGTAAATTAATAATTTTAGATAGATTTTAGATAAAAAAAGTTAATATAATAAAATACTCGATAATAATCTAATATATAAAAATACTTTGATTAGATAGTAAAAGTAAGTAATAGAATATCTAAGATTATATATAAATAATATAAGAAAATATTTAATCATCTATAATAATATAAGAATAGGATTATAATAA